TCCCCCACCTGCAGCCAGCAGAGCTGGGAGAGGGGAGAAGCTGGGATTGAATAATCGTTATTTTTGATCATTAAACAGAAACTGGAACTGCAGCTCCTGAACTGAGGCTGTTCTGGGGACCAGAAGTGGACCCACGAACTTCACTGCACTTGAGACTGAGCGGAGCGGTCTGGCGGCTGCCCAGGGTCCCACCCAGGTGTGGGCAGGCGGTTTCTGCCTCGTCCCTGCGGAGCCCTGCGTGTTCCCTCAGTGTGAGCCTCATGCCGGGTCCCCAGGAAACGCCAGGTGCGCGGGACACTGCTCACGGGCCAGTGGCCGCCTGCTAGGCCCAGTGGATGAGGCTCCAGCCCATCCCGCTTGCCCGGAGCAGCCCACACTTGGCCCTCCCCCTCCCTCACTTTCTTTCCTGGCTTCTGGAACCCACTCTCTCCTGGCCGGTCTCACCCGTGCGGGGCGCTCGGAGAGCCCCATCGTGCAGCCCTCGAACCTCTTTCTTCGTAGCTGCTCCTCCAGGATGATGGCCTCCAGAACTGAAGATCCCACGTTTCTACGCCCAGCCCAGGCCTCTTCCCTAAACCCCAGACCCTCCACCGGGAAATCGGACAGGATCTGGGCTAGACAAGTTCAAGGCCGACTTCGCCCCGACCCTAGCCTCTCTTCCCTTTTGCACACTGGCTCTCAGGTCTCGGTCTCAGTGCGTGGCAGCCCAGCCTTACTCCTGTCAAACGCTTTGGCATCATCCCGGACACCTTCTCTTCTCAGCCTTGACATTCCTCTCCACGTCCCCTCTGCCCTCAGGGAGACCCAGAATCCAACCACTTCTCGCCATCTCTGCCGTTGCAGTCTCGGTCACCACCCTCTTGAACTTGGACCACTGCAACGGCCCCTTCAGTCTATTCCTACACAGGAGCAGAGACATCCTGTGCAATGGAAACCCAAACTCATGCCTCCTCTGCTCCGGGCCCCAGATGGTCCTCCCCTCTCACTCAGAGGAGGTGTCCTCCATGGCCCTGCGGAGCTGGCCTGCTCCTCTCTGACCTGTCTCTCTCTGCTCTGACCCCTCCAGCCCTCACCGTGCCTCAGGGCCTTTGCACTGGCCTCTCCCGCTGGCTGCAAAGCTCCCTCCTGCCTTCCTCCAGGTCCCTGCACTAATGTCGCTTTCCTAGTGAGTCCTTTCTCACCCGCCGACCTTCTTACTCTGCCTTATTTTCTCTAGAACAGGTATCACCATCTGACATTGCCCACCTAGTAAGGGGTGGGCAAACGTTTCAGTAAAGGGCCAGATAATAATCATTTTGGGCTTCACAGGCCACACCATCGCTGTTGCAACCACTCACTTTTGCCAGTTGGAGATGACGCCCTGACAAGGCCTTACCTCTCTGACCTCACTTCTCCCTTCCTTGTGCGGAGGTGAGGGTGGGGGGTAGGGGGTGGGGAGAGGGGGGTCTGTGAAGATTGGGGGCTGTATCAGTGGCCTGGGGCTACTAGAACAAATCGCCACCAGCAGGTGGGCTTACAACAGCAGAACGTCGCTCTCTCAGGGTTCTGGGGCCCAGGGTTGAGATCAAGCTGTCGGAGGGGCCAGGCTCCCTCTCACGGCTCTCAGGAAGGGTCCCTCCTGCCTCTTCAAGCCTCCGGGGCTGCCAGGCCGTCCAGGGCTTGTGGCCGCATCAGTCCAACCTCTGCCTCTGTCTTCTTTCTCCTCCTCCTCTGTCTGTCTCAGATCTCTCTCTGCCTTTCCGTCTTAAGGACCATTGTCACTGGATTTAGGGTCCACTGGGATAATCCAGGATGATCTCTTCATTTTAAGATCCTTCGCTTAATTACATGTGCAAAGACCCTTTGTCCAAATAGGTTAACATGCACAGGTTCCTGGGATTAGGACGTGGACATAACTGTTTAGGGGCCACTGTTCAACCCACTGCAGGTGTCTGTAAAGCGTTTAAAAGGGGAATCAAACCTGAATGTGGACGCCTTAATCTGCATTGAAAACAACACTGCCAGGTGGGCCAGACTTCCCGGCCTTCTCCCCCGGATGTGAGTTACGTGACAGGCCACGTGATCAGGAGGGGGAAGCTCAGGGCTACAAACTCCGGCTGATGGCAACTCTGGGAAGGAGAAGAGCGTGTGTGTGTGTGGGGGGGGGGCCGGGGGGGGGGTCTATCCCGAGTACGTGCCTGGCACACCCAACCTCAGGTCAGTCATTTTTTCAAATCTCTTGTCTGAGTTTCCCATCCGCACCCAGAAAGAAGCCGGGCAGATACCATCATTCCCATTTTATACACGAGGAAACTGAGGCTCGGAGGGGAAGTCTAGCCCGTGTCCCTCACACCCCGGTCATCTCCATAGAAACCATGGCCCGCTACCAACGAAGCTCCCAGAGAGATCCCGAATCCAGTCCACGCACTGGTGGCCGCCTTCCCTCGCCTGCTCCCGGCGCAGGTTGCTAGGAGGTGGTGCTGCTGCAGGGGCCAGGCCCGTGGGGGCCCAGGGGTGGGCTGGTGTGTGGACATCCCCTCTGCCCTCCTCCACCGAGCTGCCCTGTGGAGGGTGCTCGTAGTTCAGAGATGCTGGGAGCCCAAGGCACACCTCTGCCCACAGGCCAGGCCGGGCCGGGCGGGAGGGCTCTCGTGCCCAGAATAACTGTCCGGAGTCAGCATGTTCCAGCCGGGGAGGCAAACCCAAGATGCACTTTCCCCAAGTGTCACGGGGCGGAGGTGGCACCCTCGGATGGGCCCTAAGAGGACCCCCATGAGCCCCTGTCCCCGCAAATGATGCCACCCGACAGCTGCTGAGCCCCGTCACCTCGCTGAGACGCAGCCTGCCTCTGAGGAATGCGTGGAGAGTGAGCATTTCCAAACGGGGGCCGGGAGGAAAGCTCGGTGGCCCGAGGAGGTGACAGCATGCCTTTCCGGGGAAGTGGGAGCTTAGCACAGTCTCCGGTTGCTTCTGACATCAGCGCCGAGTCTAAAAATCACTGTCCTTGTGGTGTCAGAATAAATAGTGACTGGTTCTCATTTGTGCTCCGCAAGTGACTTTCTCAAGGTTCTGAGCGGAGTCAGGCCAGCTGGGATCATGGTCTGATGCCTGGGGACCTGGGGCACAGTCCTCCCCTCTCGGGGGTCTCTGGTGGTCCCTCCACAATGGGCATCACAAGGGTTGGCACAGGAAACTCCGGGAGCTGCTGCCGGCCTCTGTCATCCCCTGACTTAAATGGCCTCTTCTCTATTTACTGAATTCTCCCATTCTGAGCTTTCGAGCTTGCCGTCTCTCTGAGAATAGAGTCTCAGTATCTGTTTTTTATATTCTTGGTTCATTTTGCTTTTAATCATCTGCATAACTGAGTGCAGGGTCTTCAGCTTCTCAGATTTAGAGCCTTGACTTGCTTGAACTTTGGCCCAGCTGTGTAATGGGTCCACTAGCAGAACTCCCATGTGCCCCCTGGGCCCGCTTCCCCTCATCCCCACAACCAGTGCCCTTCCCCAGTCCCATGTGCTCTTCCTAAAGCACAACTCCTGACCCCAACTCCTTCTGGCCATTCCTGAGCTCCCTCAACTCCCGCCACCAGTCCAGAACGCCATCTCTCCTGGCTGTTACCATGGTAACCATCTACTGACCAGCCACCTGCATCCCCTCTTTCCTCCTGGGAGCCTTGTCCCCCCGCCCCCCCGCCCTCAGCAGCCAGAGTGCTCCTTTGATAAATGTAAGTCAGATCATTTCACTTAATTCATTCATTCAACAAACATTTATTGAGCACCTAACTGTGTGCTGGGCCTTGGTCTAGGCTCAGGGGATACACAGGGAACAAAACAAATGAAAGTAATCTGTTCTCCTGGAGCTTCCATTCCCATGGAGGGAAGAAAGTTAAGTAAAGAGTTTGTCAGATGTCAGTCAGTCCAAATGGAAAAAGTCAAGCAGAGAAATGAGCAGGCAGTGCTGGGAAGGGTGGGTGTAGGAGGGGCCTGGTTTGCAATTTTCAAAGGGGCTTAGGGAAGACCTGGCTGAGGAAATGAAGATGTAAAGAAGTGAACCATGCGGATAACTAGGGATAAGAGAGTCCAGAAGAGAGGCCAGCAAGTGCAAAGGCCCCGAGGCAGGAATGCGCCTGATGTGTTGGAGGACCAGCCAGGAGGCCACAGAGTCTGGAACAGGGTGAGGGAGAGCAAGGAGGGTGCATAAGAAGGCTGGAGAGATAAAGGGAGAGGTATGGCCAGATCAGGCCCAGTGGGTGCCATAAGGCTTTTGACTTCTATTCTGACTGATACAGGAGCTTTAGAAAGTTCTTGAGCAGAGGAGGGTTGTGATCTGACTTGTTCTAACCTGCTCACTCTGGCTGCTGTGAGATTAGACTGAAGGGGTCAAGGCGGGAAGCAGGAGACCCATAGGGGTGGTGATAGTGGAGGTGGGAGAAGAGCAGGGAGTCTGCATCTGTTTTGAAAGTAGAGCCAACAGGATGTGCTACTGAGATTGGGCATAGAGTGTGAGAGAAATCGGCAAGGATTTTATTGTTTAAACTAGAGGCCCGATGCACGAAATTCGTGCAAGAGTAGGCCTTCACAGCCATGGCTTCGTCCGGAAGGTCGTCTGGAAAGTAGCCCTGATGGTCATTCCGCTGTTTGGCTGTTTGGTCGATTTGCATATTACGCTTTTATTATTATAGATGCCTACAATGGCTCCCCATTCCTCTTTGGATACGTCTCGATTCCTTATCCAGGTCTGATCCCCACTGGCCCAGCTGGCTGTTCTTGCTGCACCATTTGCCGGTGCCCACTCCTTTGTCAATGTTCCCACCTCCCAAGTCAGAATCCCCCAGACACTGCAGCTCAATAATCTTCATTTTTCATGGAATTCCTCACAGTCTGTTCATAGTGTTTTGGGGCTTTTTGTTTGTTTTAAATTGATCTGTCTTCTTGATTTTGCTTGCCTCCCTCCCTAGAATATAAACTCCATAGGACAGAGACATTCTGCCTAGCTTTGTAAAGTTGTCACAAATACAGGAAGAATGCTGGCATCGTGAGCACAGGTTGTGATAGTTCACGCTCACCTGCAGGGCACTGCTGGCCCTATTCTGTAAGGAAGGAAAGTGCAGGGGGAAGGTTATATTTAGACCTGCCCAAGGGCACAGCTGGTTCTGGAGCCAGAGTTTGAACTGGGGCCTGCGGGTTCCAGAGCTAGTGCCATGGCCCTCCCAGCCCCTCCTGTCCCCTGAGGGTCCAGGCGGAGCTCCATGGTCAAGTGGGGACAGAGCCAGGGAGATGGGGAAGGTCAGTGCCTGCTGGTTGAATGAGTCAAAGGCGGGGTCTGCCACCCCAGGGCCTTTCTCGCTCAGCCCGCCTGGAAGCTGTTGGGAAGACCAGCGTGTCTGCGCTCAGTCTCTGTATCATAACGCATGTAGAGGGCATTTAGTTTAAAAATAAAAACCTCAAGCCCACTCCAATCGCAGCCCGCGCAGCTCCTGCCTCTCGCCATCAGCTACTTCTGTTACTCTGTGCTCTGCCCTCCTGGGCGCCCTCACCAGTGCGAACAGGTGGGGGCTGCCGCGGTGGCTGCCGTCGCGGGAAAGCGCAAAGACCTTGTTCCGGGAGCCCCTGGTTCACAGCCCCCAAACTGCCTCACCGTGGGCCTCGGACAACACCCCTCCCCACGCCCCGCCCCCGTGCCTCAGTTTACCCATCAGTAAAGGCCAGGTCTGTGCAACCCTACAGGTGACACACCTGCTTCCGGGACTTGATGGGCCCCCGGCCCCCACGGGGTGGAAGCCCGGAGTCCAACCCGCGCCCCGTGGAGCCCCGGCGACTCTAGAGGAGGCGGGGGTCGCGGGGAGGCCCGCGGGGCCGGCGCGCAGCGGCAGCCTCGCCGCAGGCCGGCTCCGGGGGACACCCGCGGGAGGGCGCGGCCAGCGCGGGGGGCGCGGCGG